TTTCTGTTCGGGGCTCAAGCCATGTGGTCCTGTCCACCATTAAACCATCTTTCCAAGCAGCCTCCATGTCTCCAGTGTCTTTTTCCCCACTTGGAGATGAACCCAGAAGGACATTTCTTCCAACAATTATTTACTTTGTACATGACCCATTTGTTTGTCCTTTATATCTACAAGCTTGCTTAACTATAATAGCACTGGGATGATTTCTCTTACATTTCTTTACAGAAACACAACAGATGGGAGCACAAACTAACCATCTGAACTGTGTCCAACAATGCAAAAGCCTAAAATGTTGTTCATTACTGTGCTTAGATTTAGAGTTTAGTATGCCATGTGACTATAGCTACTGTGAATTGCTTGTCTGTCAATGGCTGCTGTACAGGGGTGGGTTCCAGCCACCATTACTACTGGTGCGGTGCCCCAAAAATTTTGTGTGGATGCACATTTGCATTTAAAATTATCTACGCATGCACACATTTAAAAAGGAATAAAAATTATATTTTTTCAGTGAAGATTGTTTTGCATTTGTGCAGACAGAAAATCAAGATGGTGCTGCCGAGGATAGAACTGGTGCAGTCACGTGTCTGCCAGAGTTATTACCTATTTGGCTGAATTGGACCGAATAGGTAGGAACCCACCTCTGCTGCTGCTATGTTGCTAATACTACTACAGATATGGCTGGTAGATTCCTGTTTATAATTTTGGAAATGATTCTGTGTATCCGCAATTGTGGTTTTATGGCTGCAATTTTAACATTAACGTGTTCTGGAGTTCGATTCAGCCAGTTCAAACTAGTTTGGGCAAACCAGATGTTAATTTTAATCTGGTTCGCCGAACTGGTAGTTGGAAGGAGTGACTTCCAGGTTGCCTGTAGGGCCATTTTTCGCCCTCCCAAGGCTCCTAGTAAGCCTCTGGAGCCTGGGGAGGGCGAAAAAAGTGTCCATCCGCAAAAATGGGAGGGGGGAGGTTGTGCACGCATGCATGTGGGGGGGGGTCACACACACAGCATTATGGGTGTGGCACATCAATACATGACCCCCCCGTGGTCCCCCTGCTTTTGGCACGCGGTTTGTCGCATGCCAAAAAAAGGTTTGCCATCGCTGCTTTATAGCATTATTTATGAATCACTATTTCCTGGTGTAGGAAGCCCCCTCCCTCTTTATTCTTAATATTAAAATGAGGCAGGATAGAATATTTCCCCCAAAGGAGAAATGGAAAAAATCTTAACAAAGGCAGAAAACAGCCCCAGTCTTCCTGCCATAGGAAAATAGCCTCAAGATGAAGCTTGAAGAGGCTGGTCTTTTGGAATGGAGATTTTGTATCCATTCAGAAAGACTGGGCCAATCCATCCATAAACAAAGAGACTCCAAATAAGGAATACAATTAGGCAAGGTGACAAGATTAGCTCAGATAAACCCCCAAGATTTGTATTTCCCCTTATGGGAAAGATGGAAATCTGGGAGCAGCCATTAAAATATTAAAGGACACATTTTTACACAGGAACAGTCATCTCAATTACAAAGCCCCAAAGAATTTATAAATGCCCACCTATCTCAACCCCCTTTAGTGAGCCACTCCAGAAACACACTGCTATCACTGAAGCTTCTGGCATCCAAATAAACAACACCTTCCTTCCTACTAGTCCCCTCAGGGAAAAGGGCGGCCTACAAATGTTAATAAACATCTAAACATCTAAACATCTACAGCTAGCCTCCATTTTATTTCCAGTGTCTTTCTTTAGGCTTTGAACGAGACCGGATTTTTTTTCCAGCACTGGTCATCCTAGTACATAGATATTTTTCTATCAGAGTTCATATGCAAGAATAGAAATAATAGGAATGAAAAACTGTTCAATATTAAGTAAAAAGTTTCAGACTTGCTATTCAATGCTTGCTGAAACCCAAAGTGGTATACAGTTATGGTATAACATAGTTAATATGAACACATTTTCTGCCCAAAATCAAAAGTCCCAAAGAACAAAATATACGATTATCCACTTTTGTCACAGTCAGAATGTTTTGTTATCACTCTTTTCCTTCCTTCCCCAACTTGGACTATAGTACAGCTTTCATCCTCCCACAAAGCATCCCAGCTACCATGCCCAGTTAGGAAAATGCTGTCCTAATGTAATCTTCTGCCAGAATTTCCCTTCCCTCAAGCAACAAACTGTTAAATAAGAAATTAAAAGTATTTTATTATTTTGGAAAAATCAAGAACAAACAAAACATACGAAGAGCATTTAAGTTAGAAAAAGAGACAGATTGATATAATCTGATGTTCTTCAGTGGATAGGGAGCCATGTTACTTCACCAAAGCAAGAAGAGCGTGTGCGAAGATCTGGAGTGTTGCGGCGATAGCCATATCGGCCGTTCCAACCTGTTGCTGGCTTTGTACCCATCAAGTATAGATGGTGACCAGCCACTTGCTCTGGAGAGTGACCTGTATAAAAAAAATACTAAAGATCATCCATCAAAAATATGTTAAAGAATTATTTTGGAAAATACAGCCTGTGTACAAAACACACAATTTTTCTTACCGTATTTATCTCTTGATGCTTTTTCTTCAATATCTGCCTTGTTTTTCTTTTACTTTGTACAACCTAACTGCCCTATCAGCAATGGATTATTGTACCCTAAATATCTACTCCCCACACACCATTTCCACTTTGTAATCCTGCCAAAGTACTTTGAAAAATCACAAGATAAATTTCATTTCTGTGGCCTTCAATGGGAGAACTTCCAGAGATTATTCTGATTAATCAGTGTTCTTCTCCACCAACCCAAAAACAAAGAACATTGCTCTATGTCCTACCAGCCATAGCAGTTCTCATAACAAATGTCATCTTGATCCACATAAACAATATTACCAATTCATATTTTAATTTCATGCTCTATGCATTTGGCTCCCTATGTGTAAAACAAATAAGTGGGGGAGTACTAAGGTGGAGAGATAACAAACCTTAAAGTTACTCTTGAATTATTATATTTAAGAGCCCATATGATAGGAAAACTGGGATGGAATGTAGCGAGATATTGGATTCCCAGGAGGGAGGTCGTGTATTCTAAAGGAATAAGAAGCAACTCAGCCTAAATATTATATGTGAGATGAATAGAGTGAACAAACCCCTCCCTAATGGTTCAGAGTATATTGTGGATGCAAATAGTCTTCACTCTGGCAAGGTTTTGTATATAAGTGTGAAACAAAAAACTCAGCTTGGAAAAATTGCTATGTGTTATTCTTAGTTTTGAGCCTGACATAAAGCATAGTACATGTCATTGGCTTTACTTGCCACCAGGAACTTCATTAGTTTCAATTATTTTTAATCAATCATTGTTTACATCAGGGATCCCCAACTCCCGGTCCGTGGATCAGTACTGTTGGAAACCAGGCCTTGCAAGCAGTGTGCGAGCATGTGCAAAGCTTCATTCATTGTGCATGTGCGAGAAACCACACATGGTTTGCATGTATGAAACCATCCTCCCTCCCCTGCTGCTGCCAGTCCATTAAGCCAGAAAGGTTGGGGACTTCTGGTTTAGAAAATCAATCAAATATGGTAAAAACTGTATAATAAAATCTTAAATTTATGTATAAAACCTATTTCTAAATAACTATCAATAATCCTCAAATACTCTTGTATCTTCCTTAAGCCACAAGAGTCTTCTGTTCCTAATACTATATGAACTGTCTGCCCATTACTATTCTGTTTGATATGACCACTGCTTGCATATGTATGGGTCGTTTCCCGTGTAAGATTGAGCTTGTCTTGGCAATGTTTCGGCGAGGTCAAAACAATTTCAATCTTACACGGGAAAAGATCCAATACAAGACCAGCATACCTATACCCGTGAAAATCTATGAAAACAAATATATTTATATTTATATAAATATTCTAAACAATAATTTTCACTTGTGCCATGTAATGTATTTTCAATAAGATATTATCATAGTTCCTGAATTATTTTAAAAGTTTGGAAGATAAACAATTACTGGTGAAATGAAAGATGGAGAAAGAGAAAGGTTCAACACTTCATTCACCTGCTCCTGCCCAGTTTCTCCTGTTCAAATACCTCTGGCCTGGCCCATAGATATGGAAATAGTCCACTATCCACCCATCCCTAGAGGTCCCACCACGAGTCTGTCAAGCAAAAGAAAAACAAAGCCCAATTAATTCAGTTTAAAAACAAATGAATATGCAGGGATGGTAGATATTCAGAGTATGAGAGAGAGAAGACTGGTTTTAATTTTTATCATTGTGGAATATTTTATATTTTTCTTAAATGTGATGCAGTGGGTAATGTCTACAATGAGATCATAAAGAGAGTTGTGACATCAAGCCTGAAGACCAAACATTCCAAGAAAAGAAAATCTAAATATTGGAAACATTATACTTTTACACTTAATAGCTTTCTCAAGTGTGTGTAATGAACCAGTTACCAATCTGTCCAAGGAACAGAACATTGTTGCCCACAATTTTCCATCTCCCTTCTAAAAAAATCAAGCAGGTCTGTGCAAGAGCACATAAAAGAGGAATATTCTGTACTAAAATTTAGGAGGAATCAGCATCTGATGATAATTTGGAAGCACGGACAGTTTTTAATTGGGCTTTCCCCATATTTAATACAGGTTGTCTTTATACCTGCTAGACTAGATGTAAAGTGGATGGTATTCAGTTATTTTAGAAACCTAAATAAATGTATTATTTGGGAAGATTTTTTTTTTAGTTGAGAAATGTGTTACTTTGTGGATTATCAGAGTAACAGGCCAGCATTTTGCAGCCAGAGCCATATTTCTTATGTTGATAGCCAAGGCAGTAATATAAAAGCTGCTGGAGCTATGTTTTCAGAGATTTTGTTTTGGTTTTTAGGTACTCTGTATTGGGTAATTCTATTTTAAATATATTGAAGGTAAAGGTAAGGATTTTCCGTGTCCTGTCCTGTCTAATTCTAGGATTGGTGCTTATCTCCATTTCCTAGCTGAGGGAGCTAATGTTATCCAAAGAAACTTCTGTGGTCATACAAACCGGCATGACTGAGGTACATGGAATACTATTACCTTCCCACCAAAGTGGTATTTATCTACTTGTATTTGCATGCTTTCAAACTCTAGGTTGGCAGGAGCTAGGGCAAGAATAGGAGCCCACTTTGTTACACAGTGCTTGGGTCTCAAACTGCCAACAGTTCAATAAGCCCAATATCTGAATTCCCCACTCCCTTTAAATATATTAAGCTATTCAATCATTTTATATATCCTTATTTGACCCATTTCCCACAGGAATGTATCAAAAATTGATTTCAGCAAAAGTTTTAAAGTATAAACATTATCTACAAGTCATGGGAACCTGGACTATAGTCTAGCATATGAAATTGCATCAAGTTATATCTCATAGCCCTGCTGCTCATCTACTACATTTATTTCCATTTCGAGTTTCAAATGTCATTACCTGCTCCGTCCTTTTTAGCAGTGATTTCACCACTGGAGATGAGAAATAGCTAGCAGCATGGATATCTAATTGAGCATTATATGGTGGCAGTGCAGACCACAGCTTGGGCAGGATGTGAGCATATCCGCTACCAATGGTGTCCACTGCCACACCATCAAGGATGAATTCCTTTTGCTTTTGTAGACATCTCCGTGTAATACAAGTCATGATTTCAAGAGAAAATGATGACTGTCACACTAAACTACTAATCTCTCACCACATCATACCACACCATATATATATGCTACCTCTCTCCTAGCAACTCTCATTATTACCCTACTAGAGTCTCTGTGATGTTATCAAGAGACAATTGTTCCATAACAACCTGAAGCTGGCATAGTTTTTTCATTTGTGCAGTAGTTTACTTTAGTATAGTTCATTCAATATTACCCTTAGTTTTACATTATTAATCTATCATAGTTCCTGCACAACAAAAAACTTAAAATTGCTAAGCTACATTTAAAGTAACATGGCAAGTTTAATTTTTTTTCATACTACAACTGAGAATTTCCTTTAGTACTGTGCAGCTCACAATTCCTGATACATGAACTGTAGTGCAAGACACAATCTTTTTAGATACATTTATGGAACAAAGTAGTATTGTAGCCTAAAATAAGTGAATAACCAGTTACATGTTTCATGGATTTCATTCATGTCAGTGAAATTGCTTGGATTTTAAATTCCCAGTTTTGAATAATTAAATAGCATAAATGGTGCAAAGAAAAAAGTACTTTCTGAATTATTGCCAGATTCGTATATTTAACTGACGCTTTGACTGCAATTCAAATTGTGTATTGTCTTTTAAAACACTCCAAAGATTGTACAGTGCGATAATCATGTGTTATGAACAGGAGTATTACAATACAATTTATGACTGTATTGTCCTATGCTAGTTAACTATTAAATATATTTTTTAAAAAGGTCACATGGGTGCATCTTTGTTAAGATTTCTTTAATTTGCTCAAATGATACAATCTACTCAACTTTACTCAGTGGGAAAGGCAGCCCAACCAGCATGTAACTAATTATCCTGCATAATCTGGGGATATTTCTAGCACAAAAATGTACTCTATTTAGCTGGAGTGTGAGGACCCACAGTGGAGTTTACAGCTTTAGTGAATCAAAGCAGTGTAACTAACATACATGTAAAATAATGTCAATTACTTAGTAGAATTCTATATATGTTTATTATTATATATTTTATGGGAATTAAAAAAACATCCAAAAGGAGTTAGTCTATCACTGGATAACTACAGAGCAAATAATTCTGGTATCTCCTTTTGTACATAGTCAGTTACAGTATACCTCTTCTGTGTTTTGAATAAGATTATACAAATGATTCTCCTTCACTCATTTCTAACCTTACAACTTTTTAAAACGTGGAATTAAGGCTGTCCACTGACTCAAGGGATGTTAATATACATTCATAAATGGATTTGCACTGATTTATTAAGACATCAAACAGTTTTAGTGTTTTTCTGATTAAATATTCTGTTAATAATATCGAAACAGAATGTCTGTTTCTTTCCTTCTCTATAACATGGAAGATATTCACACCACAAAACTTTGAGCCAATCACTTTTATTTTATTTTTACAAAGAACAAACATATTTATGCAATACTGCCAGCATTGGAAGCAATTCTGGGCCATAGATCTGCACACTCCTTGGCTACAGGGCCTGTGATAGCAGAGCCTGGAAAAATAAAGAACAAACCAGAAATATTTCTTAGCAGCAGCAGCCCAACACCATTATGAAAACAATATCTGCATTTATGATGAACTGGAAATACCTTGAACTTTTTGCATGAAACAGAAAAATTCATGTGGTTTTTATTAGAAAAGTATCAAAAGATCAAAAATGAAGAGCTCACTACAATCATAAAGTAAAAATGTTGTACTTAATGTTTGCTGCAAAATAAATTGTAAGCTTAGATTTTTCTTTTTAATTCTTTTGCTTTTATTTTCTTTCTTTGTTGCTTGCTTCTGCTCTTAGATCGTGCTAGTTTTGTAAAACTTTAATGAGTATCCAGGACATTCTCTAACTTAATAAGCTATTAATAGACTGAATATTTTTGCAAGAAGCAAAATATGTTCTTTTTAATTTTGTGGTCCCTTTAGCGGCAATACCTTTCATTTCTCCTTTGTTGTTTACTATCACTCCTGCATTGTCTTCAAAATACAAGAATACACCATCTTTTCTCCTGTAGGATTTCCGTTGACGAATCACAACTGCTGGATGCACTATGAAAAGTTCAAAATCAGTAGTTTAGTAAGCAACACCTGAATTTGAAATCAAGCAAGAGTTTCTTTAAAGTTGTAGGACATGCTGCAACTGAAAACACTTAGATCAACTTTATTAAAATGCAGGTCATGGCAGCATAGAATATAAAATGTAAAGCTCTAAATGCATATATGCCAGAAAAATTAGAATGAAAACATTCTCCAAGTAATATTAAATTCTTTATGACTTACTGGTATCACAACAGTTAAGTATGTTATGTGTTTACACCATTTAATTAACAGCATTTCAAAAACACCCTGTTCTGAAGAGATCATCTCTTAGGCCTCTAGCTTTGGTTCTGGTGCTCAAATAAGATTTCTAATAGACATAAACTTGAAAGTATATAATTTTACTTTATTATAAAACATTCATCTTGGGGGGAAATTGGAAAACAGAATAGTCTTCCCTTGTCTAGTACCTTTGTTATGGACTACAGCTCAGCCAGCCCCCATATTCTGGAAACTCTGGGAGTTATCATTTGAGGTAGATAGATAGAATACAAATGCACCACCTACAATATTTCGGGCCTAAATTATATTCTATTCTGGACTAAATTAATGTACTCTTCTAAAATATAACCCAAACTAGATATATTAGTCTAAATTGAATTTCCCAAAGGAAAAATGTTTTTTCCAAGAATATATTAATTCAGAAGATGGAAACACAATCTGATTTATAAATTAATTTAAAGTAAACTCAAACTAGATTCCCTCCAATGTTAATAATTTAGCGCAAAAACACTTTATAGTTAAGTCACAACTAATATAGATTCCATCAATATATTTACCACAATGATCACTGTACCCAACCATTACTTTTAATGCTGAAAATGTTGGTAAGTAATGACTAATAGATCGTAACCAGTTTTTTCCAATTGCTTTTCTCTTACAGTCCCAAAGTAATAATAAGATTGTAAATCAATACATCTTATTTATTCCATCACTCACCCTTTTTTCTTAACTCTGGCTTGCCTTTCTTGACAGTAGCCATTACCATGTCCCCCACACCTGCAGCTGGCAGTCTATTCAGACGCCCCTTAATTCCTTTCACCGAGATTATGTAGAGATTCTTGGCTCCTGTGAAATGAAGGAATTATTGCTGTTAACAAATACTTTGTATCAAAGTTAATAAACTTTGCATCAAAGTTATCAAGACTTCTATTTTTTGTGGCATCACCGATTGAGGAACAACAGCACAAGCTGTAACCTCACCCAAAAGTAATGCTGTTTCTTTACCCTTCCACGACAACTCCCTGGGCCATCTGAAAACAGACCCAGCAAGTGCTTTTTGAAGGGAAAAACCCATTGCTTCTAGTCTGTATCATGTTCTTTTAGCATGACTGCTATGGCTCGCAACTGAACTTACTAGGATTTTTTTCCCCAGATGAATTGGACAGGGATAATGTCAAGAGTTCTCTCAAGATTCTGAACTGCAAAAAAGTTAATTCAGGGAATGAAAAGCTTTAATATGCATTATAAGGGAGGTAATAATTTAAGTGAGTACCTTGTTAGTCAACATATATGGCAATTTAAAAATGGCAAAACTCCTGCCTGTTTTATTTGTCCTTACTTTGCTTTCATAATCACACTTTCTCACTTTTTATGTATAAGGCTGGCTGCCTCACTCTTGTACAAAAGATAGCAGCTTGTGGTTGTGTTGTTTTGATAACTATTACCCTTTCCTCAGTAAGAAATTAACTCGAACAAGTATTAACCTGTATATTTTCCACTAGAATAAAGCATCCAAATATCACCCAGTCCAAAGTCAACCACATTCTGGATTATTTCCATTCTATGGAGAGTAAAAATTACCTACAAATATTTATGTTAAGAAAAATATGTTTATTGATCTAGATTTTGCAGTAAATAATTGAATTAAATGATGTTTCTTAATTTATATAATACATTGTTTACCACCCAGAGTGTTTCATGATGGACAAACAGAAGTTCCATCCAATTCCAGAAATACCTTCCATTATCCGAAGGTAGAGGAAATATGAAATATGATCTCCTACAATGAATGTTACAATTGTCCACAAAGCTTAAATATTTACCACTCCAACATTCAAGAGATGGATATTAGAACTAGCATTTTCCCACCTACTTTAGGAATGATTATGCTGCTTAATCAAGGAATTGAAAAAACCCCGTTGCCTGTAAGCTGCTCTTGGAAGCCCTTTTGGCTAAAGTTCAGTTTAAAAGTGCTTTACAAAAATTCCCAGACTTGCTGCCCAGAATTATTTATTCAAATTAACCAAAATTAAGACATACCTGTATTATCCGCGCAGTTGATCACAGCTCCCACTGGGAGACCAAGTGAAATGCGAAATTTCGCACCAGACGAACCACCACGTCCTATTAAAAAGTCATAGGATGAAGAATGTTTTATTAAAGCAATAAAAATATTCCAATACCTACCACCTTTTTTGATTTTTGAGTCTTAAAATCAGGTACTTTTACCCCTCACTAAAAAATCACCGTTTTCCATATATTTACACAAAAGTTCACACTTTGTGTTAATTGCTTTTCTAATAGTTTGAAAAACTCCATTACTGCTAGCTAAGCAATTAACTCTACTGATCTATGAAGCCTCTCAGATCTACATGATGTGGTTTAAAAAAATGGGGGGGGGGGGTGAAGTTGCATATCCCTCATCATCCAAATGGGCAAGCATGAATAATTCCTTTTGTCCTCTCAAAGATCTAAGGCAGTTTCTCAACCGTCGCAATTTTTATATCGACTGGAACTTTCCATGCTGGTTGGGGAACTCGACATATCTTAAAAGCTGTCGGTTGTGAAATAGTAATCTAAGGAACTACAATGGAAATAAAATAGGGGACGATAGGCTAATATCTGGAGTACGCCGTCTGCAAACGATTATGCCGCAAATATTATTATAGTAAAATCCTACTAAAGCAGTTGAAGTTACAGTTGCAC